CCCTCCCTCTCCCCTCTTTCTTTTCTCTTATTACCCAGCCCGGTACGACGGCTTGGTCGGCCCGGTAAAAACCGTCAGGGGAGGGGCAGTTTTCCCCCTGCCCCTTCCCTCCCCCCGTGCCTGTTACGACACTGGCTAACACGCCAATCATCCCCCCCCCAATGAAAAATATTTTTCTACGCCACTGAACATCGTTCATTGAACACGAACATTTCGTCCATTGAAATGGAGATGAGTGTAGTACTTCACATGACTCTCAAGGTAGGCCTTGTAAACAACTGCTTCAGGTGTGGTTTTAAATTATTTTAAATAGTTACAGTTATTAATTCAAATATTTTACGTGTTGTTTAAATATATACTTTATTTTTATATTTTATAAATTTATATATTTACATTTTAAAAGCTTCGGATATTAAAAAAAATTCGTTTGTTGACTTCCTATTATTTGAAGAGTTATTTAAACAGCGGTATTACAATTAAAGTTGTACTAGCGTTGGGGCTCCTTTTTTATTATAAATAGCGGACCTCTTTTTATTGTGACTAGTGAACCTCTTTTTCTATGAAAGCGACATCTTTTATTTATTATGACACTGCGAACCTCTTTTTTTTAAAATTATGAATAGCGAACCTTTTTTTTATTACGAATAATGAACCTCTTTTTTTTTTATATTATGAATAGCGAGTCCCTTTTTTTAAAATTATGAATAGCGAACCTTATGACTAACGGTCCTATTTTTCTATAATAAATAACGAACTCTTTTCTTGATTATGACTAATGAAACTTTATTATGACTGGCGAACCTGTTATTCTGTTATAATTAGCGAACCTTATAAATAATGAGCTTTATGAATAGTGGAATTTAAAAAAAATTATGAATAGTTAACCTTATAAACAATTGTATTTATAACTAGCGGACCTTATGAACAGTGGACCTTATAAATAGCGAACCTTGACTAGCGAGTGGACCCCGGCCTGCCGTGAGATCAGAATCTATACTATTTGTGAGAACATTTCTTTCCACAAATTGTGCTCTAATTGTAACTATACAGTATTACAAATAATTGTTAATAAACTAATGGTACTGGTACTTACAGTTATTAAATTTGGAAAAAACGCTTGGCCTAGGCCTATTATAATCATGTTCGAGGGTTAATTAATATTAATCAATATTGATTGGTCAAGGGTGAGACTTTGTTAGGAGGCGACTTTGCCAAGGGGGCGACTGGTTAGGGGGAGACTTTGTGGGGGCGACTTGGTAGGGGGCGACTTGGTTTGGGGGCGATTTTGTAGGGGGAGCTTTGAGACTTGACTAGATCCTGATCCAAAGATACTCTGGATCCCATAGGCATAGGCCTACCACGAAGGTGAAGTTGGTTACTTGTTCCTCGTCGTTACAGCCCCGATTGTTAAGAGGCGCCACGCGGGCCAAATTTAACCCGCGGGGCCATTTAGTCTGGCCCTCGCGAAAAAATTATATAATCATTGTTTTACTCAATAAAATAATAATAATTTGAAGAATATTTTTGAATTAAATTGAAGACCAAAATGGAAACCCAGAGCCATGTTCCTCGGGGAGTTCAAAGACTGTATGAGCGCGTTGATACAGCGCGGAAGGGACACCTGTATTCTCCGATCCCATTCTTGTCGTGAACTCTGTATCCAAAGACAACAATAGAATGTTGGTGCATGGACGTACGGTGGCTGATTTCCTCCAAACTGTAAAAAAAACATATTTTTATTAGGGCGTTATTTAAGGCCTACTGTATATAGTTACCAACCGTCTCGCATCGTGCGGGACGGTCCCGCATTTCAAAGTGATTTTGGATGAAACACGCATTTTGCAAAACACATGCGAGATCTATGCGTGATAATGCATTTAAAATTAGAAGAAATTGGTTGTATTCAAACTATAAAAACGGTGATGCAGTAACGGTCATGAGAGAGGTACCGTACAGTATTTCCTTGAAGGCCCTACTTTTTATTTCATTAATGAGTTACTAAAAATCGATCAGTAATGAAATGTTTGTGTAGGTCTACATTTCGGGTGCTCAAATTAACATAGGCTTACATTGAAACTCAAATTGGCTTTATTAATAATATTTTGCTTATGTACCTGTATTATCAACAAACATAGCTTTATTTACTATACTACCAATCCACAGTGTTTGGTCTTACAGAGATGTGTATAAGAGACAGCTTTTATAGAGGGCGCACTCAAGTTTACGGCTTTTTTGCTTCGACCCGACGACCAGCGTTATCAGCGCGGTTGTTTAGTTTGGTATGTAACAAAACAATAATAACTTTTTAAATTATCTTAGAATGTATTTATCCAACATATCCTTTACAATATTATTTGAAAAACATGGAATAATAACTTTATACCGTCATCAGCACAGCCCGAAAGATACCTAGCCTAGCCTCTAAAACCAGCTAGCCTAGCCTAGGCCAATTAGGCTATACCCCAGCCATGCCTCTAGGCTATGCCTAGGCCTAGTTAGGCCTGTTCTTTCGCCAAAACTAGGCCTAGTCTAAGCCTAGGCTAGGCTACTTGCTTCTTTGTGATGCTTACAAGGGCTATATTCGCACACGGCTGCTAACAGTTAGCAGGATCTGGATCCTGGTTACGGATCCTGCTAACCGGTTAGCTGCCGTGCGACCATACGAGAAAATCCCGATCCGGATACCAAAAATATGATGACCGAATAACTGGCCAATAAGAAACTGGAAATTGTAAACTCGTACGTGTGATTGATTGATGATAGAAATGCACTTAACGTGCTAACCGATAGTGCTTGCTAACCGTTAGCAGTATCCGGATACTGCTAACGGTGGGCACTAACCTATCGGGTGTTCTCACGCAGGTGCTAACGGTTAGCGCAACGGTTAGCTCCTGATCCGGATACTAGTGCTCTCGTGAGAACCAGGCTTCAATCATCCTTGAAAATTTCATTGTCATAATGGATTTAACCCTTCTATAATAAATGTTTGCGTCATCGCCAAAAAGTTTTCCACTTTTATCAAGTAGGCCTAATTTATAAATTTTGTTTGCTTTTAATTAAGCTGGCAATTGTAATTAATAGCTCATTTGTTTTACATTTAGACAGAACCAGTACCAGTATGTCTTCGACCAGTGATACTAAGCTAAGTGGTAGTGTGCAACTAGATAAAATGGAGAGGGATGAAAAAGCTGGCAAATCAGTGACTCTTATAAATGTATCTGAAGTGAGTGATCCTAGTAAGGCTAACCCAGATGTGATTCCACCAGTTTCTGGTAAGAAATAGCAAGTTAAGCAAAGACAAATTGGTTGAGTAGCTCAACCAATAGTAGTAAATAGAATTGCAAGTTGGAGCTGGCTGATTACATTTGGTTAGATTTATCCCAGATGTGGCAAAGTTATAAATAAAACAACTTAACAGTACAATAATAATATACTTAAAATTAATTAATAAAATAATGCATTTTAATTGTCAAATATATTGCAACAATCAAGTCAGACCGAATTATTTTAAACCCTACCATTACAAGCATTTTAAACTGTTTTTTAATTGACCATAAAAATTGGAATTAATTTATTTAAATACAATCTTCCAACTATGAACCTCCCAATAAACGCATCCCGCGGTCACATGACATGTGGGTATAACTATGGAGAATTTATAGGAAAATATTTACATATTCTAGTGTTCTCTTTGTATTGTATGCTTCAGAATTTATATGATACTTTGTAAATTTAGCTAGCCTAGATGCCGTAGCGTGTCAGAATCGCAGTTCGCAACTCTTGTCCATACCTAAACAGGATGTAGATATGTAGGGGCCTAGGCCTAGCACATCTCAACAAAAAAAAAAAAACTTTAGCATTAGCAAACCATTATGGCAAAATTCTCAAGTTCAATTTTTAATGAATTTGGTACTAACATTCCAACCAGTACTATTCAACATCAAATATATGCTTTACAGCAGAAACAGTCCAAGGAGCTACCCATTTTCCTACTACTGAGCGTTACTGGAACTGTCTGTTTACAATTTATAGTCCCAGTATATGTCACATTACTAACCTAGCTCTCAATTTTACAAACTCGATTTGCGACAATGATGTCATTACAATCAATCTTTTTTGTAACTACAAAAGAAAAACAAATAAATAAATTGACTTAGAACTTCCCTCTAAGAAAGAAATATCAATTGTTTTCAGCCAATTATATTCTATTTTGCGCTATGCATGCTTCTTCAGGCAGCTACTATACAGTAGAAACAGAGAATCTCACTTTTTGTTAATTGTGGTCACTGTTCCAGTGGATCATTAGGAAGAGAATAATAACACTCCTTTTTGCATTTTATGGTCATGTTTTCATTTGGAAATCACTTAAAATGAATACTTCACAGTGAATACCGATAATTTTGGCTTCTGTACACTACAGGATTATTTTGTTGCAAAAAACATAAAAATCCAAGTCATATTTCATGACAAATATTTGCTCCCATGGCAAGGCCTAGGCTTACCTAGGCCTATTATACTGTGTACCATAGTCTAGGTCTACCCTCACCACTGAGATGTTATGGAAATGTTGAAATCTTATGAATAATTTACATCAAATTGCATAATTTTGAGCCTTAGAGGTAATGCATTTAAAAAGCAGCAGCAATTATATTTTTATTGTATACGTGTTATAGAGAGAGCCCCATTATCGTCAGCATACTGCTTTTTTTAGTCACCGTCGGTAAATAAAGTTGAATAAAAAAAGAAAAGTTGCCAATGCCTGTATAGTAATTTTGGAACTTGCAGAGGTTTACTAGTATCTCATTAGAGCAAATTTGCATATGAATTACTTTATTTATTATTTTCAGACTAATATTATGAATTATAATCATTATTCCATTGAAGCATGCACATTATCTTAGAAGAAAGTACAAAGAAAATTAATTATGTTTTTCATGTCATTAGCATCCTCACCACTAGTAACGTCACCACGAGTGATGACCGCTGCCACCCCCTCACCAGCTTCATCAACTGCAAGTACATTCAATAGCCCGAAAAATATTCAGATTTCAGCTCCGATGCTGACCCCTCCAAATACAGTTGACCCTTCACAGGTGAAACGTAGAAGTTCATCCAGGCCTATTAAGAGAAAGAAGTTTGACGATGAGTTAGTGGAAAGCAGCTTAGTGAAGTCTAGCAAAGCAAAGCTGCCAACATTACAACCCCCTGAGGTAGTACCTAGTACCACAGAACCAACCCCTGTTGAAAAGAAGAAGGTAAAGTATTCAAAAAGAACAATAAGTCAAGATTATCAGATTTGCTTTATTACTTTTATAATTTATTGTAAATTGAGCAGATGAAAGCTGTTTGTAATTTAGAAAAATAGCTTTATTTACTATACTACCAATCCACAGTGTTTGGTCTTACAGTATTATTTTTTGGTAAACTATCAAAACAAGTACATGATCAATTTCTGTAGCCTGGATGTGTGCATGTAAATGATTCAGGGATTATTTTTTTTTTAGCGTGATGTTCAGAATGGACCATGCTCACTTGAAGACTAATACATCATGTGTAATGATCATTACATAATCTTGGAATATTTTTGGCTATAGACCTTTGTTAAAATTGAGCTTTAAAATTAAATTCAGTTGAAAACAAACCAACTTGGCATGTAATTGTAAATAATGATTTCATCAAACTTGATTAAGTTATATTATAAAAGTTTTGAACCAGTTATAAAATTTATTTTCTAAAGATATCCAGGGCGACTACTGTGAAACGAACAAAAAAGCCTAAAGCAGTTATTCCAACATTGAAAGATGTAGGGCGTTGGAAACCGCAAGACGACTTGGCTCTGATAACAGGCGTTCAACAGGTATGTCTACAGTTATTTACATTTTACTTTAAGCCCTTAATTTTTACGATCTGAAACTAAACAATTGTTAGCCGCCTTTCAGTAAAGTGAAGCTCTGAAGAGGTTGATTATAATATTTGTTGTCTGTGGTGGTGGTGGCATTTAATATCTTTGTTACCATATATTATAATTTGGATTATCAAATAGAAATTTAATACAGGTAGTTACAAATAGTACGAATATCAATTGATATGCATGTTCTCCGTTATTATGAATTTGCTACAGACAAATGACTTGAAAGCAGTCTACACTGGTGTAAAATTCTCTTGTCACTTCACACCAAAAGAAGTGGAAGAAAGGTGGTACTCATTGCTCTATGACCCTGCTGTATCTAAGTAAGTATTCTACCTGTGCAAGTCTGTTAATTTTCAGTCATGTGGGTTGTCATTGCTTGTGTGAAATCAGTTTGTAGGCTCTAACTTGTGTGAGCTTGGACCTGGTGGTTAGCATCTAATTTTGTGATATTTGGGACTTGTTGGTTAATTATATTCATTCTATCATAATATGGCTTGGTTTGGCCTAGGCATGGTATCTTCATTAATTATATAATCAATTTATTCATGTTAATGTTGATAGTCATACAAGATAATACTTGAGGTGTATTCATGATTAATAAGTATATTTTGGAATTATATATTTATTGAAATATTTTTATACCTTACAATATGAAAAAATGATTTATCTTAATTTAATCCATGCTATTATAAAATTTAAATCTATAATTCTTGTATGTATATTAAAAATTTGTTAACAGTTTTTCTATTGGTGTGTTTTATGTTAGAGTTGCTCAACAAGCAATGGCTGCCTTGCATCCAGATATCAAAGCAACTGTCCTCAGTAAAGCACTTTTTAGTGTTGCAGAAGAAAAGCTTCTTGGAACAGTCACATCTGTATGTATATTTAATATTTTTATTTCTATATCTATTTAAAAAAAACATGTACATAACATTTTTTAGGTGTTGGGTATAATAGGTTACCATTTGCCACATCATATTAAAACTTGTTAAGTCTTGACTTTAGCTTTTAAAAACATGAAAAATTAACTGTTAATGGCGCTATATTGATGTTATGCTATGATGAAAATCACTAAAATCTCCTTAGTTACGCCTCTTGAAAATCTGGTTGTGGGGTTTATATCTTGTTTATGCCTTCTGAGTACCCCACCATCCACCTTGCATGATACAACCAGAATTGTATTGCCAAGCGGTGTCGCCCGAATATGCTATAAGAATGTGTCATTGTTTTGATTATTTCACATGACTTTCAGCCCTGTCACCAGAGCAATGACATTCCCCAGCCACAATCTAACAGTTATCATAGATGATTGAGTAAAGAAAGAAGTTAAGTTTACTGAAAAAAAAATGCTTAGTATCCAGTCTATCTAGGCTAGGATACTCTTGTCTGTATCTGGTGGTATAGGAAGTCGGCCGTTGATTGTGCAACATCTTAACAATGAATTGCTTAATTCAAGTTATTTTATTACAACTTTGTTTGTTGCTTTTTGCAGATGACCCAGCCAACTATTGATACATTTCAGGACTTGTTAAATGATAACTCAAATGTGTTTCATCCAACAAGAACAGCAAAAATACTGCATACTCATTGGTTGCTGATGAAACAGTATCATCTTCTTCCTGATCAATCAGGTAGTATTATGAATAATATATATTGTGTATTCATCAAAACACACACAGTAAATTATAGAAGTCACTTATTTATTTTCAGATTTTGAATAATTGAAATAAAACATAGAAATTGTATGTTATTTGTTCATGTCTACATGAACCACTGAAACAATTGTATGTGCTTGTGCACATGTGTGTACAGACGTACAGTACCGCTCACAAAAATTACCCCTTTTTGGACGCGTCCATTTAAGTCCTGCACTGCCTAAACATTGTTATTTGTATGCATGTATGTCTGTCCAAATTGTTAAATACTAAATTTTGATCGTGTCGAATTAACAGTCCTATTCAGGACCATGGATAAACAATGGAGGGAGGCATGCATGAGCCGTGTATAAATTGTACTGGTGTTCTGATTAGGCGTGGTTCCGAAAGACATCAGACAAAACTGATGTTGGCCCATGGAGGAGTACATTTTTTTGCCGAAACTTGACGTCCTTCAGTTCAGCAGTAGGCCTGGTGTAGTTTCAATGTGACGACGATCATAAATCAAAATAAAATCGGCCTGGCCTACCTTAGATTTTTAATGCCCACACCGTTGACGAATTTCAATATATTTATATTCAATTAATTTACAGGTGTAATAAAGTAATCATGTTTTCATTATTGTACTAATATTTACACACAAACTAATTAGTATGACGATGAAGATTCATCCACCACCCTCTGTCATTATCCTGCTGTGCTATGAGAACAAAAGCATCCGCAGCAGGACTGTATGATGTACGGTAGTTCACAATGAGGTCAACCACAGCACCAATGACGCAATTAATTTTATGTGAAGTTGAGTACTATACTGTGTTTCTAAATACAGCATAGGCCCTTATTTAAAATAAAATAATCACAACATTAGGATACATATTATAATTTTTTTGTATTTCTTTATGATTTATTTATATTTAACAAATACAAAGATACATTGCTGGAATGGTGCCATATTATAAAAGGAACGAATTTATGTTTTACGTACCTACATACACAATTTCTCCTGAGATAGGTTTCAACACATGTTCTGTGTTTGATACGATCTAGTCTGTGTCATGTCCGACGCGTCCATTCAATAAAGTGTATTACAGTAGGTTTTATTACTAAAGTAGTTTGGCGCAGTGGGAACAGTTTGGTTTCCCAACCTCGAGGTCGGGGTTTCCATCCCTCGCTATGCATTTCGATTGTGTCCTTGTTTGAGCAAGACATTTTATCTGCATTGCTTCTCTCCACCCAGGAGTATAAATGGGTACCTGGTAGTGTTGCCCGCTCCTGCGCTGATTACCAGCAGCAACACTTAGCGTGTGGACCCAATGACCAGGGAAAATAAGCTTTATAACCGCAAGGAAGAGGCACATTATAAATGGCCCGTAGCAGTACCAGTGTTGAGGCCTACAGTAGGCCTATTCATATGTACTGTATTATCAACTGTATATTATTGATACGATAAAATAAAATTTGCCTTTTTAGATTCAAACTATTAATATTATTAAATGTATTTGAATTTCCATTAAACTTTGAAGTTAATTGTTGTGTTAAAATCATTAGAAAAATACAAATTGATGTGTTAAAATCATTAGAAAAATACAAACTTTAAGCACAGTGATTACTGAAATCAGGAAAAATCTACAATGATTATTAACATACATGCATGTTGTCAAAAGAGTTGAATGAATTAAAGGCGTATAATAGGTCACAGTCACAGTGTAATCTATCCTATTGTGAAGGGGATAAAAACAGGCCCACACAACATTGTCCACCCCACTGCCCATCCTACTTTCACAATGGTATATTCCAGTTGGGTGGTTTTCGTCCTGGGTGGTTTATGTCCAATTACCTATTGCTAATGCCATTGACAATAAAATGTATACAATTGGTGTGTTCATTGATTTGTCCAAAGCATTTTACTGTATCAGTCATTCCTGATGATGACATAATTAATGTCGAAATATTGAATCCCAACACGATGGCGTGTATTTCAATACTTGGAGTATGTATTATACTTTCTTATCTGAGATTAATCAGTGGACCTTTCGGTATCAGTCATGATATTCAATTTGAAAAGCTTAAATATTATGGAATACGGGGCTTTCCCTTAACTTGTTATTTTGATTATTTAAGAAACAGAAAGCAATTTGCATATACGTTGATTCTCAATCTGATATGACTACTATTGCAGTATAAGGTACCTCAAGGCTCAATTTTAGGACCACTACTGTTTTTATTGTATATTAAAATGATTTAAGTTACGTTAGTAATAAGAGTGATAATGTATACTGATGATACAAGTGTATTCTATAGTAACCAAATATATTACAAACTTATACTTTCATGGAAACTGAACTCAAAAATATCTAAGTAGCTTAAAGCCAGCAAATTATTTGCCAACAGTAACAAAACTAAATATATTATGTTTTGAACTAGAAATAAACTATATGACCCTACAAATTACAATTTATCATTCAATCACAAAATTATCGAAGAAACCAGTGTTGTGAAATTTCTTGGTGTTAACCTTAATTGTCATCTGAATTTTATTCACCATATTGACAATATTGCTAAAAAGATATCAAAATCGGCTGGTGTTATTTCAAAACTGAAATATTTTCTACCTACTAATATATTAATTACTATTTATAAATCATTTTTTATAAATCATTACTTCTTCCTCACTTAAATTATGCAATAACTTCTTGGGGATCTGCAAATAATACCCATCTCCAGAGGCTATTTAAACTACAATAGAAAGCATTTAAAGAGCAGCATGCAAAAAATACAAATTTCACCCTTTCACTTCCCTTTTTGTTTATACAAAAACACTTAACATTTTTTATCTCTTGGACAAAAATATTGCAATGTTTATGTATAATTATAACAATGGAAATACACCAATTAGTTTTAAAGAGATCTTCCAAACTACAGAATCTGTGAATAACGACACAAAACTCGAAACAAATATAGATTGTATATCCCTAGAAAGAGAACACATGATATCGCCCAACAGAGTATTTCATACACAGTTTCTAAAGTCTGGAACGAATTACCTGGAGATATACGGAAAAGTGAAATTAAATACAATTTTATCGTAAAACTAAATGATTATTTTATTAATAAATACAGAGAAAAATGTAATAGATGTTTGGTGGATAAATGCCATTTATGTAATAACACGCTTTCGTAACGTGAATCAACATTAAATCTCAGGGGGTTTTTTTTTAGGCATGATGTTTCAAATTTAATTACAATATTTACATTGATTATACATATGCCTATATGTATTTATATTTATTTTTTAGGATATATAATCTAAAGCATACAGTAACTATGCTTGCTTTGTATACCTCTTTCATTTTTTTCTATGACCCTTCTTTAATATTACTGTGTTATTGCATGTCTTGAAGAATTGGAATAAAGAATTGATGATGATGAACCACAGGAAACTGTCTATTCACAAGGAAAGTTATTGTTTATCATTGACACACAATCGACGCATCTATCTAGACTGCTTCGCGTCTGATGCGTCCATGGTGTTATCCACTGCTGCTTAATGCTATTGTTATCCAACTTTATTCAGTGCCTGTAATGTCCCGATAAATGCATCTTGCAATGTATAGTATATTGACAAAGGCCAGAATAATACGTTTGCCTGTAGATATTCAATGCGAAATTTGATCAGCTTGTTTTGCCTATCCTCATTTATGGCTGTGAGGTCTGGGGGTTTAAAACCAGATTGAAGTGTTTTATAGAAAATTTTTGAAAAATATCTTAAAACTAAATAAATCTACTCCCAACGGGGTGAAGTAGGTAGATCAAAAGTCTGAGTGACAATTGAGAAAAGAATATTAAGTTTCTGGGTTTGTATTTTAGAGGGTAAACAGAGTAAACTGTCAAATATTATGTTTAAGCTGTTAATGAGATTACATGATCTGGGTACATACATTTCGAAATGGACATGTAAGATTAAAAGTGTACTTGACAATTGTGGTATGTCCTATGAATGTAATTATCTAAATAAAAAATGGATAGTCAAAAGCATTGGATTACGATTAGTTTGTATCGAAACAAGAATGGCTGTCTGATTTAAACAGTAATAAGATGTGAAAATTATAGAAATATTAAATCCGAACTTGAGTTCGAACAAACACTAATCATGCTACCCAAGAAGGATAGAATTGATTTATGTAGGTTAAGAATGTTCTCTCTTGCCCTGAAAGTTTAGAGAAATAAAGTCTATTGTCTATTGTCCACTATCTAAAAATAATGAAGTCACTTGTTTGTATTGTTTAGTTTCACAAACAAAGAAAACAAAAAAAAAAGCAAACAACACACACCCAAGCTTTCTGTTTCTTAATAAAAGCTCACAACTTTTTTGAAAAATTATCATTCGATCATGGCATTTCGCAAAGGTAATAGGGTTCAAGCAGTAGATCCACACTCTAGCACGTGGCTTTCGGCCCGTGTTAAATTAGACACCAACGATGACTCGCAAATCCCTGTAGGACGGGTGGGATACAACACTTCATCGTGGGTTAATCTACATGACGTACGGACACCAAAACTTAAGAGGCCATCTCTTTTTAACAAATCCGACTTTACTTCCCTTGGTGAACCAAGGTTTCTCCAGAAAGGAGACGCAGTGGATAACCTCCTACCAAATGGGAAGAGAAAGCCTTCAGGTGTTGTAGTCAGAAATGATCCACTTTTGGGAGAGGTAAGTTTATTTTTTCCCGTTTTTCATATTCTAAAAAAATCAGTGGATTAAAAGGGCCTAGATTTATATTTATATGAATATTTGAATTTGTCAGCCAGTCCAGTTTTTATATTCAGTTTTGACTTAGTTTATATTAAAATTGATTAAGTGTTTTAAAAAATCCATGTGTTTACATAGGCTACGATGTTAGGAAATACACTAGTATTATATATATGGAGAAAATAATAGGCTAAGGTTTTTAAGGTAAAGCCATATGTTTAGAAATGGTGTACCGAAAGTTGAAAGATGATTTTGTTATTGATACTCGCCATGCAAACCTTCAAGAAAATATTTTAATAGAAAACTTTTTTTTATGTAGGCAGCAACAGGTATCATGCTGGTTGATGGTGATCTAGATGATGATCATGATGACGACGAACTCGATCTACTTGCGTATCCCATCGTGCCCGACGACAACGATCGACATGACAGGATGGAGGCCTTGCACATCGAAACCAATAAAGTGCTGTCTACTTGCTTATGGCCCAGAAATGATGCGGAAACGGAATGGCGGCAAAAAATGGACCATCGAATGCGGAAGTTGGAGAAGGCGAACGCAAAGATTATGAAGAAGAACGCCGAGCTAGTTACTTTATTAGACAGCAATAGTCGCGAAATAGCTCGATTGCATCAGCGCTTAAATACCATAGAATGTGCTCCTGTACAGCCTATTGTGGCCATGGAAACTGGTGTAGCTGACATCGCTCCCCCTGAGGAGAGTGGATTTGAAAGTAGTATACCAGAACACATTAGGATAAAGATTGTAAGATTTAGTGAAAATAGATTAAAAGTAGCACGCCTTTTGGTCCAACATTTGTTCACAGTAGAAGAACGTTTAAGTAGTAACATTTCCGGTAAAATGGGCGCACATCGATTAGACCCAGTCAGGATGGAGATTGTTAAGCGTGAGACCTTCAATATTTCCCCGTCACCTGCGGGAAAAAGGGAGAGACATTGGCGCGCCTGCCAAAAGTCTATTGATGCTGCCAGGCGGCACATGAAGGCACGCATGAAGAGTTCATAATTATTACTTTAAGCTTTCTATATGGTTTAAGCAACATAAAGTGTATATATTTGTGTATAATGTGTATTTTTATATTTTCCATGTATGTTTTGACAAGCATTTTATTAAATGTTAGTTATGTTTATGAATAATTTATTTTAAGGAAGTTTGTATTCAAATTGATTTGTTTGAACAATTTTGAATAAATATCAAATAAAAATGTAGTACAGTAGGTGTAATGGACAATATTTATGGTTGTTTGTTCATTATAGTATTGATCACGACGAGGATGATGGTGCTAATGGTTGATATTATGATATTGTTGTTGTTGTATAATGATTTATTCAGAAATTTAAATATGATAATACAACACACATAGGACACAGGATTTAATACCTATAATACGAACAATAATAATAATAATAATGGTAATACTAATAATTTTTATTTTCATCACCATCCATTTCGTCTCAATAGCAAATATATAAATGAGGGCTACCAGAACATATTTAACTAAAAATAACCAAAATAATGATGTATTTTTAATACTGTCTTAGAAAAATACCCCACAGAGCACGTGTTGAAGGCATGGTTGTTTCGTTGACAAAATGCCAACTGTCTAAAAATAGACTGTAATGTCGAGTAATTCTATTTTTAGACGATAGTGCGATTGCGTGTTGCTGGAATGTAGTTTGCAGTCTCTACTGTGTTTTTTTCTCACGATCACATGTGAATTCTATTGAAATTTTTCCCATTCAGTACAAGCGTCTGTTAATGTTATAATGTCATCGTGTTTTACTTGCCATTTCGTACTGTACTGTACGTTCTATAACATATGGTCAACGATTACTGGATCGTTATTCATTAATTGTTTATTCTATGAAAGGTTAAGGCCCAGTGTTAAATTTACTATGTTGTTGAAAATCACAATTGCGTAGGACGCATCCATTGAATGGATGCAAATTGGACGTTTTCAGGGCGCGTCAGACGCGTTCAAAAGGGGCAGTTTTTTTGTGTTTTGTTGGGATCACCTTTATTTGTCCTCTTTTTTCATGGTTTTCAATTTTAATTTTTTCTCATATTGTACAATGTTTTATAATTCTTTAAAATATAAAACAAAAGAAAACAAAAAATAGCGTTTTATAATTATATTTTGTTGAGAAAATCGCACATTTCCTGTAATATTTTCATTCACTTTTCATTTTTTATACAAGATTTAACACGAAATGGAGCCATTTCGACCCAAAGTATGGTGTACTGACAGCAGTGTAAAAACATATATAAGCATATATATATATATATATATATATATATATATTTATATATATATATATAAATCAAGGTAGCCGTTAACACTGTTAAAACATATATAAACAAAATTTATGTTATATATATATATATATATATATATATATATATAGGCCTATATAATGACTGAATAAAAAGGCATACTAAACAATAATAGGCAATCAAAAAAATACAGATGTGATAGAAAATATATAAGTCAATGGGTCTATACGTTAAAATAAAAAAACACACACATATATACATACATACACACACACCTCAACACCACTTTACATAACCACATTTACCCATTCACTAAACATATTACTAACTATTTTGTTTTCCTCCTTTCTCTCATTTTCAATAACCTTAATTAATGTATCTTTGCTCTAGCCATTCTCTATGTTGTACAATCTTTCGTTCTCTGTTTAATTTTTTTAAACAAATTTTCATTATTTTTTTTTTTTTTTTTTTTGTGAGCGGTACTCTATGTTACTGGGTGCAGAGAACCATAACAGCAAGGACAGAATGTGTCAAATGCTATGGATAATAGCCAATTTGTAGTTTGAACTGCGGATGCCCATATCAAGATCAATTGACAAACAAATATGCACACAACATAGGCTTATGTTGATTGACCGTGAATGCGGGTATGCGCAGTTCAAACTACGAACTGGCTTATTGGAAGGCAAGATTGAGGAATAATAATATACATGTATACAAGTAAAAATTACCAGTATTCAAGTACAATTTTTAAAATTAATTCATTTATTAATTGTTTGAAGGGTCATATGATTTGTATTAAGTTTAATAATGTACTCTAGGAGCTCATAATATCTTGTGTGGATTTTTGTGTAATCTGATTTCTTTTGAAATATACATATATGGGGCTGGGATGAGGTGTTAGGTTTCCTGAGTGAAATATCTACCATTTTTAAAATAACCTAGTAAAATCTACAATATTAAGTATTACATAAAATGTGTTTCAAATTTAAAATATGTTTATGAATCAGAAATTGGGATTTTAAAAAAATGTTTTTTGGTATATTTTAGTTCAACCGATGCCAAAGGGAGACCATGTTTTAAATTTCTCTGATGCCGAGGATATGATGGTTGATGCAAATCTAAGGTAGTGCTTATTTATATTGTAATGTTATGTCTTAATGTTTTGTCATTGTAGACAGACTTGAGAATGATCCTAATACTGCCCTTTTTGCTACCTCAGTGGCGCTTTTGATATTTCTAACTTTTCTAACACAATTCTTTGACAATGCCATGTTGTAATTTCAAATTTATGAAAATGTGATTTACACACAAAATCACTTGCAGTCCGCAAGTTGTGAAATCACTAATATTCTAACTAGTATTCATGAAGCGTCTATGTTACATCATTTATTCAACAATTAACAACCTGACTCAAACACACACACACACACACTTCATACACTTTTGACAATTTCAGAAAATATAAATAATCTTAACACCTTTGACAATTTCAGAAAATATAAATAATCTACTTGTAACTAAAATGTTTTAACATCAGTACTTCAATTAAAAAAAGTATCCACATTCTATACTTATTATCCTTGATTTAAATATCAGTGTGTTATAGTGTATTTTGGTAGCTTGGTACTACATTAACCAATACGCTGGTATCTATGAAAAAGGATCCCAAGTTTCCCTCAAGTTGAAAGAGTCTTCCAATAATTGGCAATGTATCCCACTCTCCCCTCAGCAAGCAAAAATCACATGAAAAACTCATCAATTTCCTACGAATGCATGGTGTCTGCTTCTGTGCAATATGCGCTATATAAATGTAACTCTATGAAGTCACTGGACATGGGTATCACCATGCACAGCAAAATACATTTAGATATTCCTCATTAAACTAGATTTCCCAGAAGTGACTTCTCCTATCTTGTGATCCATACATTTTGACAACATTTTGAATTTCCTTCTCAGAAATCCATCTGATGAATTAGTAGAACAAGGTAAGCTAAAATTTAATATTTATTATAATTTAATTATTTAGTTTTTACACAAAATATTGTATTATGTTGCTATAGCATTGTAGTGCTAAACATTTCCAACACTGGTTGCCACCTTGTAATCTGCATATCTTGAAAATAAATATTTAAAGAGTTAGTGGGCAGCACTTTTGGATCATGTGCTTTTTGGTTTGAAATGAAACCAATAAGTTATAGACACTAAGAACAAACTACAAATGATAGACATCATTTGGTATTTTGAAATAATATATATCATTATAAAACCAATCATGTGATTTTAAATACAGAAGCATTTTGTTGGAATTTATATCAATACAGGCAACTAAATAGTGTTTGGTACATTATTGAATTTTGATATTATTTTTATCTTTGCAGAATTAACGATTGCTGATAGAAGACAAAAGCGGGAGATACGACATTTAGAAAATGAAATACCCAAATGGCAGGTGCTAGTTGATCATGTTACAGGTAATTGTGCATTTAATCACCTGTGTAAACCAGGATATGTACGTACAATAATGGAGACTCCCCATTGGCAATCAAATGAAATTAAAAACACCATTTTTGGTTCAACCATGGTTTGACATAAACATTTTTGTACAAAAGCGTGCTTTTCAGATCTAGACTATGCCTATCGGTTCATCAAACGTAGTATCAAAATACCTCGTCTTCATCCTGCCTCTCCATCACTGGCATTTGTTAGCCTTTATGTTACTGTCACTCTCATTGGTTACAGTGTGAATTGCATGGTTAGTCAGTTGCCTAATCTAAATGTGTCTGCAAAAATACAGGGACTGAATCAAACCATTTTAAATCAGCAAATCTTTTGGGGTCTTTGAAATAAAATAATATATTATGTATTATCTTACTGTAATGAGAATCAGATAATATCACCTGACTTTTTTCAAAAGGAGAAAAAACCTTGGATTTTGAAGTTTTTTACAGACTCCTCAGAAATCGCGAAAGCTCATGTCTGGCCATCTAAAAATACAAATTATGAAGGGGACACCCCCCCTCCCTTTGTTTTTGTTATTCTTTTTATAAATTTAAAACCCCCACTGCTTCAAGTCCTAGATCCACTTCTGCAGTGCCCTGATCATTCTCGCAACTCAAATGAGCTTCATGTTTTTATTCTATAATTGGCTAACTATTTTCATTTGATGACAGTGAAATAATTGCATTGATAAATACTACTGTATACATGTTTGCCCTCTATGTTTTTTCAATAGGCCTGAATTCAGTTGACTTTGACAACCAGACTTTAGCAGTACTCAGAGGCAGATTGGTTCGTTACTTGATGAGGTCCAAAGAGGTGAGTAAAAAAACGTGTGTGAGTTGGAAAAAGTCATTGCAGAGGTTCTTAGTCCATTTTGGGAAGAATTTTTCCAAACTTTTATATTGAAAGTCAAAATATCAGTGTGTCAGTGTTTTGGATATAAAGGCAGCAAGCTAGTAAAGTATGTGCTGTTGATGCTAGGATAATATTATAAACAAAATATAAAAGGGAAGTCAAAAAAAAAAAAAAGAACATGGTAGTTTTTGGAAGAAAAATAAATACTTTCATTTCATATTCCTTTCATTTTTAAACAGATTACCTTAGGCAGAGCAACCAAGGATAATAATATAGATGTTGATCTGTCACTTGAGGGCCCGGCATGGAAAATCTCGCGTAGACAAGGCATCATTAAACTTAGGAACAGTGGTGATTTTTACATTGCTAATGAAGGAACTAGACCTATATATGTTGACGGAAACCCAGTTCTGAAAGGACAGAAAAATAAACTTGATAACAATTCTGTTGTTGAAGTAAGTTTCTTTTTATATATTATTATAATACTATTGTTAGCCATTCTATGCTGGAATATTTGGCAACCAGTAACTTATTGTAATATATTTTAAATTGTACTTTGCAATGGGTGTATTCAAACAACAAAGTTCCTTTTTATATACAAGTTTGTATTTTTTATGGACAAGTCAATAAATTAATCTTGAATCTTGGCTAGTGTATACCTAGTGTACATAAGTTAAAATGTTATGATAAATTGCATTCTCAAAAATTTTTTTTTTTCTATATTGTTATTGCTGTTGTCATTTTTGTATTGCTGTTGTTGCTAATAGTTTCATTGTTATCAACAAACAGTATCTACCTGTTTGTTTTAATATTAGAAGAATAGTGCTTATTATTATTACTTCTATTGTATTCAAAAAAGGGGAGGTAATAATAATAATAATATTTGTAAATACTGTATTTACAGTGGATATAAAATGTCATTGTCAGTGTAGTTAATTACATTAAAAGTATATCTCATGGCATAACACTGTTCATTATTATTCTGGCAGATAACTGGACTACGATTCATCTTCCTAATTAATCAAGACCTCATTAGTGCCATAAGAACAGAAGCAGCCAAAATTGGTCTTTAATGTTCAATCAGAGTTTTTTTTTATTGGACAACAATTGGGAGAACTATGAAGCAGTAAATATCAAATCCTGATTGTATGGGTTTATATAAAATGATGACAACATGAAGAATGAATGTTCTCACTCTAAGTATTCTCAGGCAAAAAGGATGAAATACTAAGGAGACCTACAAGCAGCATTTATGTTCATGAAATGTACAATGTGGACAATAAATGTTGCCACTCCAGAAAATGTCAGGCAAATGAATGGAATACTAAGGCAACATACAAAAAGATTCAAGTTCATGAATTGTACAATGCAGACTATAGATGTTGCCACTCCAGGAAATTTTAGGCAAATTAATGGAATACTATTAGGAAACTTACAAAGAACATTCTTGTTCATGAATTGTACAATGCAGACAATACAGTAGATGATGCCTCTCCAGGAAATGTTAGGCAAATGAATGGAGTACTAAGGAAACATACATGTTCATGAAATGTACAATGTGAACAATAAATATTGCCGCTCTAGGATATGTCAGGCAAATGAATGGAATACTAAGGAAACTTACAAAGGACATTCATGTTCATGAAATGTACATTGTGAATCATAAACTTTGCCATTCTAAGGAAAGTCAGACATCACAGATGAAATGTTAAGGAAGAGAACAATAATGAAATGTACTTTGAACATATGAAAAGCCATTCCTGCAGTTGCCAGATACTAGCAATGATATTTTAAGGAAGCATTTTATGAAATGTACAAAGTGGACACCAAACTGTGAAGTTATTTAACTTCAGGAAACTTAGATACATTTTATACAACAAAAAATTCATATTCATCAGCATCAGCTGATGAATTTATAGTATTTATAGTAGGGAAAGTTTAATGGACCCTATAATCATTGGAGGTGCTAGTGGGGGCAGGGAGGGGGCTTGAGTCCCATTTGAACAAGTCAACCCATCAGGCAGATCAGTCCTATACTGGACAGGTCAGTTTCCCCATCGACTGGAACCATTGCCTAGCTTTTAACAAATCAAATTCCTAGAATCTGTAGTTGGTGTACCGTAAAACCCTGGGCTTTTTCTTTTTCTTTTTTTTTTTGCAAACTTTGGATAGGCTTCTTTTTGAGGCTACTTTTGCAAAGTAAAGAGGGGGATCCTTTTCAAAATTAATGCTGTAAATTTTGGGAATTACTACTACTGTATAAAACATTAAAAAAAGGCCACTGTAACATCAATCTGTATCGTGGAGTATATTAAACCGGAATTAAATCACCTAAACTACTGTATAAACCAAACGTGTCTGTTAAATTATTTTGTTTCTTTTAAATTCATATACAGTGTATATACTGTACTATTTTGGAAAAAAAAGCCCATGCTATCTTGGAAAAAGTACATGGGCTTTTTTTCGAGACTACTTTTGCAAACTAAAGAGAGGGCTTCAATTCGAAATGGGCTTCTTCTCTAAATCCAGCCAATTCTGCTTCTGTTTGAGGTTTTCAAGGTTTTATGGTATAATCTAAAATGTCCAAATCATGGTGTCACCACTGCCTGTAACCATATCCATGTAACAAAGGTTTGAATATGCCTTCATATAACAAAAATCAAAAGGGTTTTCCAAAAGTATCAGTTTCTTAAATGCTAATAGTAAGGGATAGGGAGAACTTTGAAATGCATTGTGGAAAATAAGGATAAATGGAATATTAACATTAATTGATTTATATTTTATTTCCAATCAATGAGCATTTAACAATAAAAGTGGGTTTGCATTACAAGTATTTTCTGGTGTTTTCTTGAAAACATTGCCTTTAAAACCTTAATGAAATAATACTATATTTCAAAAATGAAATTATATTACAAAGTTTTAAGTAAAATATGAAGTAAGTTCAATGTCAAAAATACATTTTTCTTAATTAAACAAAAGTTAATGAATGTGCAGGTGAAATGCAGGCCTTAAGACTTGATATCTAAGATATGGGTCAAACACAATTCATAGTCGTGACATTGTCTATGCTCTATAATACCCTTAAAAACCATCTATATTGGTCAGTTGGTCTTACTTCAGCTGATAAATAATCTTGTGGTCTGTCATATATAAATTCTAACCAGTAAACACTATGGGGTACATCAATGTTTCATGTAAGAGGGCTTGTAATGTGTGTGTGTATTGTGATATTTCACGGTTTGTTTCATTTTACATAAGTATATATATATATATATGTATGCTATTATTTCTTTCTAGCCGTACTTATTGTGTAATGAAGTGTATCTGGTGGTATTTGAATCTGTTTAACCATGAAGCCTCCGTGGTCTAATGGTTATGACGCTCGCCTTGACAGCGAGAGGTCGCAGGTTAGAGTCCCGCC